CGAAGGCGAAGCGCTATCGCCTATATAGCGAGCTCGCTACTCTGCCTATACCGACCCGACTTTAGTAAGAATTAACGATAGACTTTATTACCGATCTCCCGCCGAGCAAGCTCGGTGCCTACGTATATACTACGATCCTCGTAATAGTCGACCGCTATACGAAAATAAGCCTCTTTATCCTAACGACGAAGAAGTATATAGTAGTAGAACTCGCGGATATCCTTTAAAGGGAGGTAATTAGGCGTTTTAGAGTGCTATTAGGCATTGTTAGCGATCGTAGATCGCTTTTTACTAGCTAGTTTTAGAGCGACTTCTACTTCGAAGCGTATATAAAGCGTAGGCTTAGTACAGCCTTCTATCCTTAGACTAATAGGCAAACCGAACGCGCGAACTAGACCCTCGAGCAATACCTACGATGCTATTACTCTAAGAATTAGAGTAAGTAGGCTAAACTGCTGCCTTAGGCGGAGTTTGCCTATAATAATAGCGTTTATCCTACGTTGCGTATAAGCCCCTTTAGGATGCTCTACGGCTTCGATCCTAATCTAATACTAAGAGCGAATAAGCTACTAGCTCGGGACGAGCTAACTAAGGGAAGGGTACTAGTAGCTATCGACGCTACGGAGCGACTATAGAAAGCATATAAGACGCTTGCGGAACGCTAGTAGAAAGTAGCAGAATACTAGGCTAAGCAATACAATATATACTATACTACTAAGATATATAGTATAGGCGACTTAGTCTTGCTATCGATAAAGAATATTAGCTTAGATGTCCTAAAGAAGAAACTTAGCCCGAAGTATATAGGGCCTTTCTGCATTATTAACGCAGTTAGAGCGCAGGCGTACCGCCTAGCACTGCCGTTAAGCACGAAGATCTACAATGTTTTCTATGTTTCCCTCCTCGAGCCTTAGTATAGGCGCGATAGCAAGGAGTATAAGGTAAGTATACCCGTCGCTAAAGGCGATAAGTAGTAGGTAGAAACAATCGTAGCAAAGAAGATAAAGAAGCAAAAGGCGTACTACCTTATTAAGTAGCGAGGATAGCCTAAAGAATATAACACTTAGGAGCTAGCTGTTTATATTAAAGATTCTATAGCGTTAGACGAGTTCGAAGCTTAAGCGAAGCGTAAGCGTAGGTAGTAATTAAAATAAAAGAAAATAAAACTTAAGAAAAAAATAGTAGACACGTACTCGTTTCGCTACTAAAAAAGGCCTATTAGCTTAGTATATATAAAGAAGGCGCCGCGTAAGCGCGGCGACGGCGGACCGCCTACCCTACTTATCCTTAGAATCCTTAGCCTCCTCCTTCTCTTCGATGCCTATAGCGGCATCGATAGCGGCGACGGCCTTAGCGCTAACGCGCTAAGCGAGGTTCTAGTATAGTTAGTATACGAAGCGCAAGTAAAACGAGGCTATAGGAAAAACTATACCTAACGACTAATCTCTACTAAACTAGCTAGGTTAGTACCGATATGCTCGAGGGTACCGAGTAGGTTAACGTCCGTAAGGGACCCGCTAGCGGCCCCCTTACGGGCTAGGGCTTTGCCGCCGGGGGTTACCTTATTCTTATTAGTATAAAAGACATATAGCGTAGATAGGATAACTAACGTTAAGGTTAGTATACGAAGCGTAAGCGGAGCGTATAAGGAATATACGTACGACTATAGAGTCTAGCTCGGCCTAGAGTGCCTCTAAGGCCTCGTTAGACTCCTCGATAGAGTCGTAGCCGTCTAGGTCGTATAGGTCGCGCGTAGAGCGTACGGCGCGAATGCGCGCTAGTAGCGACACTAGTAAGCGGGCCGTAAGCGGAGTGTAGGTATAATAGCTACCGCGGTAGCGATCGTAGTTACGCTTAGTAGTAGGGTCTATATTGCTACCTATATAAACCTTAGTTAGGTCTACTAAAGCGAGTTAGTTGCGAAGCGTAAGCGCGTAGCAAGTAGCGAGAACACGTACTATTAGCTATTATATACTTAAAGCAACGGGTATAGCCCTCTAGGACTTTTAGGGGGCGCTAGGTAGGCGTAGTAGGTATCGAGGGCAGAGCGCCTATAGCGCGCTTACCCGAGGCACGCGAAGGAGTAGATATACTAGTAATGTTTTTTTTAGATAGATGTTTAAAAAAGAAAAATCTTTAAGTAATACTAGGGGGGCGTAAGATACGAGTAGGTAGAGGGTAGGTAGAGGGTATTCGGAGCGCTTAGAAAAAGAAGAAGTTTTTAAGCGGGCTTCGAATGCTTTAAATACTCGCCTCGCTTTCGGATAGCTTGCGTTCTCGCGTAGCTACCGCGTTCTTAGAAATTTAGGCAACCTCTAGTTAGTGCTAGAAGCAGCCGCGCTTTAAATCTATAAACAAACAAGCAACTACGAGGCAAATTATAACGTGCCTAGCAACTATAGCCTAGCGATAAGTGCGTATAAGACGCGTAAGTGCAGCGCAGAGTGTAAGAAATAGTATAATTTACTATATTGCCCTATAGCTAGAATAGCTATACCGAGGGAAGGAGATAATTATAAGAACCTAAGCAAGTAAAGTCTCCTATCCTGCCTTAGCAAGCCTATATAACAATTATATAATGTTATTACGTACAGTACGATACAGCCGCGCTAGCGATAAGCTTGCTTAGCGTATGCGCGTAATGCTCGATTACTCGTACGGACATACTCGGTAGCCGGCACGGTAGATATGCTATCCGTACTAGGCCTAGTTAATAGTAGTCGCTCTGCCCTGTTCTAAGAAAGGTACGGTTTAGTTCTACTTTCTACTACAGCGATTAGTAGAGGGCGTTCTATACGTTGCTATATACCTATTTCCTTATATATACCTACCTTTAGACTAAATCCTTAAGATAAGCTAAACGAGGACTTCTTCGGCCTCTATCTATACCGACTACTCGATAGAAGAGCGTAACGATAGACTTTATTACCGGTCTTTCTAATAGTTCCGGTTATAACTCGATCCTTATTATCGTCGATCGACTAACTAAGATATAATACCTTATCCTATTCGTATATAAAGAAGGACGCTCGAACGCTTAAGTAGTAGTAGATACCTATCTTATTTATATTTAGAAGCTTTACGGTCTTCTAGATACTATTACTTCCGACTACGGTATATAGTTTATCTCTAAATTCTAGAACTACTTATATAAGCGCCTATATATTAAGCGTAACCTATCGACCGCTCGTTACTTATAGACTAATAGATAAACTAAACGCTTAAATAAAGTTATCGAAGGATATCTCCGATTATATATAAACTACGAGTAAGACGACTAGAGCCTCTAGCTCCTAGTCGCCGAATTCGTAATAAATAACGTACCCTCTAAAACTACCGGATTGTTACCGTTCTAAGCTAGCTACGGTTACAATCCTCGTCTTAGAAGTAAACCTTTAACCCTACTAGAAGAAGATTTACCGTTAAATAATAATACTTAAGCCTAGATCGATTACCTATAGAGCCTCGAAATATATCTTATCGAATAGATACGGTATTAGTAGTCTCGTATAGAAGACTTAACTAACTAATACCGCCGACCCGCTTCTATCTATTATATCGGTAATAAAGTCTTCTTATCGCTTAAAGGTATAAGTACGGATCGACCTAACGTTAAACTCGACGTTAAGAACTCTAGACCGTATAAGATTACTAAGGCAATATCGCTCTACGCGTATTAACTAAAGCTGCCTAATTTAATACGTATCTATAACGTCTTTTATACTTCGTTACTTATACTAGTACCTAAAATAGGCATACCTAGTTAACGATACGAGCTACCGCCGCCGCTAGTTATCGACGGTAATAAGGAGTAAGAGGTAGAAAGAATACTAGATATAAAAGGCAAAGGAGATAATATATAGTATAAGGTAAAATAGATTAGATATAACAAACCGATATAGGAAGCCGCCGAGAACGCTACTAATACGTAAGAAGTAGTAAAGGACTATTATAAGCGCTACCCGCGTAAGCTACAACTACGTATTATTAACTTAGCGATATTAATACGACCGAGCGTACTATTATTAGTCGCTACAATCGTAATACTATATAAGTAACGAGTAGATAAAGCGCCGTAGACGTCGCCTATAAAGGGGGAAAGTACTATTACGATCTTAGCGACTTATATATATAATTCGAGGTTACGTAACTAAAGGTTATATAACTTAATGCCTAAGGCATCCGCCGAGTAGATAAAAGCCTCTCCCGCGAGAGAGCCTCTCTCTCTTTCTTCTTTAACTCGTTATTAATTTAGATAGCTATTTAATTAATATCTTAATAGATCCGCCGAGTAGATAAAAGCCTCTCTTATAAGAGAGCCTCTCTCTCTTTCTTCTTTAACTCGTTATTAATTTAGATAGCTATTTAATTAATATCTTAATATATTTACTTTCTATTCTATTTATATTCTATTTGTATTCTTAATATTTTCTATTTATATTAGCTACTATAATTATTCTTTATTATTTTAATAGTATTTTATAGTCTCTAAGTCTAATTAGAGAGAATCTTAGTAATTAGCTAATATAATTTTAAAATATAGCTAATTTAGTAGTTAGCTAAACTATAATTTAACTATTTCTTAGATTCTATTTAAATTCTATCTAATTCCTATCCGATTCCTATCCGATTCCTATCCGATTCCTATCCGATTCCTATCCGATTTTTAAATTATATTTAATTCCTATTTAATTCCTTTCCGAATCCTTTCCGAATCCTTTCCGAATCCTTTCCGAATCCTTTCTAAATCCTTTTAAAAAATCTTTACCCTATAGTAATTATTATAGAAGTAAAAAAATAAAAGATTATTTATTTCTTATTGAAATTTCATTTAAGTTCTATTAAAAATATAATAAACTTACTCAATGGTTTCGCATTCCAATTAGCTTAACCTCGGCTAACCCCCTGTCATTTTAGAGTTCCTGACCACCGCGGTAGTCAGCTCGGCGATTTTGGTGGTCAGACCGGCGCTGCGCTCCATCTCAAGGCACACTGGAGACCCCACACTGCACAGTCTCTTCATCATCCGGAGACGATCGCTGTTCGATGTCGCCCTTGGCGCGCATTGCAGACGTACTAATAGCTGCGAATCACTCCTCCAAAGTGGTTCGGTCTGCTCTTCACGGCTCTGCGTTCTTGCGCAACGTCGAGACTGCATCTTCGACCAGGACGAACAGACAAGATCGGGTTGACTGAGCTTACAGGTGAGTAAGCTTTGTTGTGAAGGTTTGGAGGGTGAGTGGCATTCTGCGATACACATTTTAATGGTGCCATGTCGGTGTTCTTTCTCCACGCTCTCCGCACTCTTGGAAATACCAAGCAAATGCTTCTCCATGCTCGGCACGCAGAAGACGCTCGACTAACAGGGCTTCTTAAGAACAGAAAGCCACCATGTCGGACGAGAAATATGGCGAGCAGTGTGCTGTCGAGCGCGAAGATGCGGTCTTGCCCAATGCAGGCGAATCTACGGAAAAGATGTCGGCCAAACGATATCTCTTGACTCGCTTTTCGACTTTGAAGCCGCCCATGGACAAGCTCGACAACCCCATTAAACTCCTCCGTTCACTCAATCGCAAGCAATGGCTGTTCTTTTCTTGCTCATTTATTGCGTGGACTTGGGACGCGTTCGACTTTTTCACTGTCAGCTTGACAGTCAGCAATCTCGCGGAAACATTCGGTAAGACGAAGAAGGACATTACGTGGGGTATCACGCTCGTTCTGATGTTCAGGTCTGTTGGTGCGATAACTTTCGGACTCGCATCAGACAGATACGGGCGAAAATGGCCGTTCGTCGTCAACAACTTGCTCTTCATCGCACTTGAGCTTGGTACAGGATTTTGCAATACTTACGACCAGTTCCTTGCTGTCCGAGCTCTCTTCGGTATTGCAATGGGGGGACTCTATGGAAATGTGGCGGCCATGGCACTTGAAGACTGTCCACAAAAGGCACGAGGTATCATCTCTGGCATGTTGCAACAAGGCTATGCGTTTGGATACCTTCTCGCCACCGTTTTCTCCAGAGCCTTGGTCGACACAACCTCTCACGGCTGGAGACCATTGTACTGGTTTGGTGGAGCCGTACCTGTTCTCATCATCGCTTTCCGTCTTTTCCTCGGCGAAACCGATGCATACAACGAGCGCAAGCGAGTCCGTGAGAGTGGAGATGGTGTCGGCAAGACCTTCATCAAGGAAGGCAAAGTCGCGCTAAAGCGTCACTGGATGCTGCTGATTTACATGGTTCTCTTGATGGCTGGTTTCAACTTCATGAGCCACGGTTCTCAGGATCTGTATCCGACCATGCTGGAGAATCAGTATGATTTCTCCGCAAACGCAGTGACTGTCACCCAGGTTGTGGCTAATCTTGGGGCCATTGCGGGCGGAACCACAATCGGCTATCTTTCACAGTCATTCGGACGTCGCTTTGGCATTATCTTCATCTCTATTATCGGCGGTGCATTGCTCTACCCCTATTCCTTCGTTAGCAACGAGCGCGTTATGGCTGCTGCTTTCTTCGAGCAGTTCTGCGTCCAGGGAGCTTGGGGTATCATTCCCATCCACCTTATGGAGTTGTCTCCAGGAAGTCTGCGTGCTTTCGTGGTCGGTACTTCCTACCAGCTCGGCAATCTGGTCTCTTCAGCAAGCTCCACAATCGAGGCCACGATTGGCGAGCGCTTTCCTTTGCCAGATAAGATCGAGAAGAATGGCAAACACGTCTCCAGATATGCTTATGGCAAAGTTGTATGTCGTGCTCAGCTGCTCCGATGTTCGTTGCGAATCGCTAACATACATTTAGATCTGCATTTTCATGGGTTGCGTCTATGCATATGTCATTCTCTTGACGTTCCTTGGCCCAGAATATCGAGGTCGCTCCATGCTGGCTCGTACTGATGAGGACCTCGCGGAAGCTGCAGGTCAGCATGCTATCGAGAATGCGAAGCACGAACAGCATGGGAGTGTCCGCCATCATTCCGATAGCGATGTTGGGAAGGTCTAGGCATTGAAGGAGAGGCAATAAGCTCTCTAGATCTGGTTACGTAGCTTTCCGGTTTGAAGTTCAATGCTGACATTCGGAGTTATGAATGATGATCACCGTCTTCTTGATGATACCTTCTTTCCTTGATCCATGTTCCGTGACATTGATGTTGAGATGCGATAAGGCGAAAAGGATGCATGTGATTTCCTGCCACGGTAGTCTCTTGAAACACGGACCCCTGCTCGGCCTATTGACGCAACTTGTCGACTTCGACTTCTTTATTTCAAGAACTACAATTCCACCTCCTTCAACCTCCCATCAATACATCTAGCGATTTGGCCCGGAATACACGCACATAGCTACCACACACACATACGCCGAACATCTGCATTGCACACTTGCTATCACGAAGCGGTAAAGCAAAAATGTCAGGACCTCAGCAGGGACCGCCGCAAGGTGGTCCACTTCCTATGCAGTTCGCGCCAGGACAGCAGCCTACGTTCGAGCAGATCCAGCAGATGCAGCAACAATTGGCTGCTGAAGCGCAAAAGGCCGGCCTCACGGTTCCCCAGTACGTCGAGCGGATGAAAGCGCAGATGATGCAGCAAGCGCGAATGCAGCAGCAACAGGCACAAGGCGCGCAGCCCGGACAGCAAGTGCCAATTCAGCCAGGCCCGCCCAAACCCGAAGCAATCGCCGTCGCAAACTTCCTGATGTCACAAGATCTGAAGATGAGGACATGTGTCTTCCAAGAGCAGAGGAAAGATATGTTCAAGGTGAAGCGCGCGATCAGGGCACTACAGTCAGAGGCATACGTAAAGGCACGCAAGAAGAATTCTCTTCTTCCCGAGGTCAAGGATCGAGTGACGGCGGAGAACACGTTCAAGCTTCTACCAATGTCGTTTTTGGCGCTCCGAGTCAGCAAAGTTGATGAGAACCACGGACACGAGGGCCATAATCATGCTAAGAAAAAGCGTGTCAAGGGTCTCTGGACTGTCAAGGTTGAGCAGCAACAAGAAGCTGCCGATGACATGTACTACACCTGGCTCTACCAAGGTTCTCAGTGGAAGCGGAAGCTGCAGGCTGGTGGAGCTCTTTTCGGAATTCTTCTGGTTGTCTTCTTCCCTGTCTGGCCTGTCAAGCTGCGCATCGGTGTCTGGTATCTGAGTATGGCCCTGCTGGGCTTGCTTGCCTTGTTCTTTGCCATGGCCATATTCCGACTCATCCTGTTCTTGATCACATTCTTCACTGTCTCCCCCGGACTCTGGCTCTACCCAAATCTATTCGAAGACGTGGGCTTCTTCGATTCGTTCAAGCCACTCTGGGCATGGCATGAGAGTGAGAAAGAGATGAAGAAACGTAAGAAAGATGAGAGGATAGCGAAGAAGGAACGTCGGGCTGCTAGAGAGCGAGGCGAGCTACCCCCGAGTAAGGAAAGCAAGAAGAATAAGGCAAAACAGGATGAGCCCGTGCCCGTACCTCAACCTGTCGCAGCAGCGCCTGCTGCTACTGGTGCAGAGGCTACTCGGTCCGAGAACCTCCAACATCGCAACATGAATGCTCGCGTGGAAGAGGTCGAGGACGAATAGGAAACTGTACTGGAATGATCTGTCACAGCGAAGGCGTTGCGGAGTCTGTCAGGACGGCGAGACTGGGTTTGAAAGCACTTTGGGGCTTATGCACGATATGATAGTCACTGGCGTTCCGCACGTACTGTGGTTGCTGACTATGAGGCAAGGCAGAATCAATCCGAGCTTACGCAAGACTCATTTTCAATCTCTTTGTATTAAAGATAACGCTTCCTTTCTCCACGACATCCTGGGCGGACATTTTCGGAAAGCGGATACTTTCCAACTCGCCTTCCCAAGGTTTGTAATTTGCCGGGTCGTCGACAACTTCCACCGACTCTGTCGGGAAGAAAGTCGTAGGCTCCTCATACTCATACACCATCGTGAACGTCCCGGAAGAAATCCTGCCATCTGGAAGCTTGACTCCAGCAGGACATGCAGTGAAAGTGTGCGGAACGCCGCCTCTCGTGTATACCAGAGAACCCTGGCGCCACAGCGAAATTTTCTCCTGCAGTCTCGAGCAATGCAAGGCCGTGTAGGATTATTATCCGCTCATCGATGAGAGCTTTCTTGTCGATCGTCATGTGAATATGCCTTGGGAGACGATGGTCGGTGTTGAATTGTATGAAGCCTTCCTTTGTCGTTGGAGGGTGAGAGCTCGTGCATGGTTAGATTTATGTCTGAGAAGGGCTTTTTAATATGGTGCCGCCTTTCTTCTCCGTGAGTGATACGACAGCCGTGAGGGAATGTGTAGCCTTGGTTTTCTTTTGTGCGGCGATACTTCGATTAGATGTCGGGGTTTGGGGGTGTTGGAGTCCTTGCGTGCCTTTGCAGACCCTGGTCGTTCTTCTGTGGGACTGGTGGTTGTTGCTGCACTGCACGTGTCTTGCCGCGGTAGTTTGGTCGAAATAGTGAGCACTCTGGTGCCACAGCTGGGGCCGCTGAGCACAGAGACGCCTCGTGGCCGGCGCCGGCACTAGGAAGCGGCGACTTCAACCGAGGCCCGTCGGTACGCGCAAGTAACATGTAATCAAGAAAGTCGTCCGCCCGTTTGACATCAACATCTCACTTTCTTCTTCCATCCAAAGGAAATACCACAGCACATCTACCAAACAAATAATGGCCACAGAACGAGTAAAGAGCGTCCTCGGACATCTCCTTCCAGGCCAGAAGCCTTTGGACCATATGTAAGCCATTGTCTTCACGCCGAAAGCCTTCCCCGCAAGCTTCGAGGCGGCGGCGGCACGCACATGCGGTTGTTCAATACTGATCAAGAATGGCATTCTAGCACGCAAAAGAACCCAGACGACATTGTCATCACTCTCGCGATACGAACGCCTCTCGCAAAAGGCAAGAAGGGAGGTCTGAAGGACACTCCTCTCGATGGCATTGTTTTCAAGCTCCTCGAGCAAGTCCGACACAAGAGCCGATTGGACCCACAATTGGTTGAAGATATCTGCTTAGGAAATGTAAGACGAGGCACGACAGCAGGTGGAAGACTTGAGCATTGATGATGGATACAGGTCTCCGATGCAAAAGCTGCCTACTACTGCCGTGCTGCCCTCCTCGCAGCAGGCTACCCAAACACCACCGCCGGCTCTTCAGTGAACCGCTTCTGCTCCTCAGGCCTCAAAGCCGTCCAAGATATCGCCAACCAGATCATCACCGGCAGCATCGAAGTCGGCATCGCAATCGGAGCAGAATCGATGACCGCAGGCGGCGACCGCCTGACGCGCCCATTCGTCGACGACATCCTCAACGCCAACCAAGAAGCCCGCGACTGCTTGCAGCCCATGGGCCAGACTTCTGAGAACGTGGGAAAAGATTTCAACATCAGTCGTGAAATGCAGGACAGATATGCTGCCGAGTCATACCGACGTGCTGAGGTCGCTCAGAAGGCAGGCTGGTTCGATGATGAGATCGCTCCCATCAAGGTCCAGCTCGATGGCAAACAGGTCACGCTCACTCGCGACGAAGGTCCAAGATACGGAACTACTTTCGAATCTCTTTCGAAGATTCGTCCAGCGTTCCCAGACTATGGTGACAGGTCGACTGGTGGCAACAGTTCGCAAGTGACCGACGGTGCCGCCGCTGTCCTGTTGATGAAGCGGTCCAAGGCTCTCGAGCTGGGCCAGCCAATTATGGCCAAATATGTTGGCGCAACGGTCGCGGGTCTTGCACCACGTATCATGGGCATTGGCCCATCGATCGCCGTGCCAAAGCTCCTTACTAAGTACGGTCTGACCGTTGACGACATTGATATTTTCGAGCTCAATGAGGCTTTCGCTTCCATGGCGGTATATTGTCGCGACACACTCAAGCTTGACTGGCAAAAGATGAATCCGAGAGGTGGCGCTATCGCTCTCGGTCACCCGTTGGGATGCACGGGTGCAAGACAAATTGTGACCGGTCTGAGTGAATGCAGAAGACAGCAGAAGAAGATTCTGCTTACGACCATGTGCATTGGTACTGGCCAGGGTATGGCAGGTTTGTTCGTGAATGAGCAAAATGTATAGAGACAGACGATCTTCTGTAACGATGCATTTACGTATATGTACATATCTTGTCGCAGTTCCATTCGGCGAAAAAAAAAACACGGGCGTCTACTCAAGCGTTTCCGTTTCCGATTCCGATTTCCTACATCTCAATTTATCCTAACGCCTCGCTCCCGAAAGAATAATAATCATAATAATACAGAAAGAAACCAAACCAATCCCTCAAAGCCCTACGCCCACTTCGAAATCTTCATCGTTCCATGCTCATGAAGATGCCGATGCATATCAAAAGCATTCCACAAAAGATGCGGTTCATGACCCCAACCTTTTTTAAGACACTCGAATTCCGCCTTATCGAAATAGTCCTGGAGGATGGGGTAGTAATCCGGATGCGCACACTTCTTGATAATCTCACGAGCTCTCTCCCTGGGACTCATACCCCGGACATCAGCGAAACCCTGTTCCGTCACGATGACATCGAGATCATGCTCCGTTTGATCGACGTGCGTACACATAGGCACAATACACGAGACGCCGGTTGGATCGGTTTTACTTGGTCGAGTTGAGGGTGTGTGCATAATGCTGTATTTTGAAGATCGAAGGAAGTCGGCGCTTCCGCCTAGACCGTTGAGCATGCGAGATCCCATTACACAGGTCGAGTTGGCGTGAGCGTAGATGTCGACTTCGACGGGAGTGTTCATTCCGATTACGCCGAGTCTTCGGATTATCTCTGGGGAATTGGAGACTTGTTGGCTGCGGAGGAGGAGTTTTGGGGCGTAGACTTCCCAGCTTTTGTAGAATCTGTCAAAGCCGTTGGGTGAGAAGCGGATGGATGTCGCTGTGGCGAAGTCGAGATTTCCTGAGTCGAAGAGGTCGAGGAAACTGTCTTGGAGAACTTCGGTCCAGACTTTGAGGTTCTTGAAGTCGGCTCCTCCGCTTGCCAGGCCACCCACCACCGCATTAGCTATGTTGCCGATTCCGGACTGGATTGGGAGCAGGTTTTGTGGAAGCCGGCCGTGGTTGACTTCGTGCTTGAGGAACTCGATCAAATGACCTGCAATGGCACGGCTGGTATCGTCTTCCGGGGCGTTGGGAGCTGTGTGGTCTGGATAGTCTGACTCCACTATAGCAACTACTCGCTCTGGATCTACTGGGATATGCGGAGTGCCGATTCGATCTTCTGGTGACATGACCAAGTATGGTTTCCTTCGTGGTGGCAGGTCTGTCATTGTGATGTCGTGGAGACCTTCGAAGTTGGGCGAAGCTGTATTGACTTCAATGATGATCTTGTCTGCCATCTGGATGATCTCTGGCGAGGCACCGACGCTGAAAAAAAGATGGTTAGTAAATGCTTCAATACCAATGGCAGTTCAGGTTCTGCCGGGAAATCTCCCAAACGTCACTTACCTCGCTCCAGGAATGATACCACCATCTTCAGTAATGGCCGAAGCTGAGAACTGTCAGATCCATCATCTCTCATAAATCACTCTTGCAGCAGCGTACCTTCCACAACCGCCACATCCAGACGATTGTTCGATTTATGCTTGGTATAAAACCCATACATCAAATCGACCGGAAACATCGACAAATGCTTATCCTGCGCAAAAATCAGCAATCCCTTCTATCATCAGCTACGTAGCTCCAACCCCACTTACGAAAAAATTGATATTCCCATTATTTATCCCCTTCGCAATCTCCTTCCCCACCTGATGCGGCGCCCTCCTCTCGATCATATTGTTCCTAGCCCATCGATTCTCCGTCTCCGAACCGCTCGAAGCCCCCACAAACAAGTTGTACTTGAGCTTTCCCTGCAAATTGTGCTTTTCCACGTGTTCGGCGAGAGCGGTTGGGACTTTTTTGGGGTAGCCTACGCCCGTGAAACCCGACCAGCCGATGTAGGAGTTGTGAGGGAAGAGATCGATTAAGTCCTCGGCTTGGGCTAGCTTTTGGAGGTAGGAAGGCCTTCGGCAGCGTGCTTTGAGGAGGGCGGATGCGGACATGTTGATGGAGTGGAGAGGATTCTTAGGTGGTTAGGGAGTGGATGAAGAGTTAAGGAGAGATTTCCTTTAGGAGGGTACAATGGTAGGAAAGTTGCTTACTGAATAGGATCTTGTTGCACACAGTCCAGCATTGAAGTATGAATGGCATGATACAACCGCACCTGCCGGGCGAGGTTCGGTGGTGGTTGTAGCGGCAGGAACGCGGAATGCCTACAGCGCCTTCACGTATCGGAAGGCTATTCAGTGTTCCGCGGCGCTATTTCGAGCGCTACGGCTCCTTTCCGCGAGGAGCACTTTGCTATATAAAGTAGGCGTAGCGAGGCTCTAATTGCGGACCGAGCGTACCCCTAGTTATCACATTCCTAAACTAGAGGAATACCCGACTACCGGAAGAGGCCGATTAGCATTACGTATATTACTAAAACCGACTAACTAGCCTTTAAGACGACTATCTTTCTATAGATTCATAATGTATTATATAATACGTAGTAGCTGTAGGTAAATAGAAGGAAGAAGGAGGGAATTCGAACTACGAAGGAGGTTTTTATTAATTAATTAGGAGTAGGTCTCTACTAGATTAAAGTCGCTACTAGTACTACCGGAGAGGGAGCTCGAGTATAATTATAGGGAGGCGTAGAGGACGCGTCTTTAATAAATAGGTGTTTTCGGTAGTGTTTGTACGTATAGTATCTCCTACTAAATAGTTAGCTTCTCTCTCGTTCCCTACTATACCGTATACTTACTCTAACGCGTACTATGCCTAGTATAGTCGTAGAAGAGGTTACTTAGGCGCTATTCGCACTCGTAGCGCGAGACCTCTTCGAGACTAACGATATACTAACCTTCCGGAGGTATTTAGACCTCTAGCTAAATAGGAAGGTATTAGCACCTTCGAGAGGCTATTCTTACTTAATCGACTCGATAGCAGCTAGCGAGAGCGTTAAATAATAGGTATGCTACGTAACCTAGCTTCTAAGGCTAGCGGGTCGACAATTAGGTCGCTAACTGCTAGTATTATATCCTCGCCTGCCTTCTAGCGACAATCGATACCTCTAGGCCTTCGACTAACTTCTCGTCGTATAACTGCTATCGGCGCCCTTTATCCTATTCCTTCGACTCTTAATAATGCTATCGCTCGTACTACGCGCGCTATAGACGTACCTATCCGTCGGTTGCCTTAGTTAAGTATAGAAGAACAAAAAGAATACAAAGTCGTAGTAAGAGCGATAAGGGTAGGCGTAGCCTCGGCTAGACCCGCCGGATTGCGTTACAGCGGTCTACTATACTTCTACTACCGCGATAGGATACTAAGCCTTCCGCCGCTAGTCTACGACCGTCCGCTAGACTATAATAAGTCTTAATAGTAATTTAACGATTAATAAGAGGCGTTATAGCGCTATTAGCCGCCTATAGAGGTTATAGACCTTAATTCTAATAATTCTAATTCTAAATATCTTAGAAGTCTAACCCTAAGAATTAACGTTACCCCTCGGACTTAAGCAATCTTACTAGCTCGCTTAGAGCTTTCCGGTGCTACTAGTACGGAAGAGGAAAGCGCTTAACCTTTATTACAATTTTTATCTTTTAGCTAACTCTTTTAATCGATATAACAAACCCTCTAGCGCTTTATACTACTTACTAATCGACCTACTAGCTAGTAAGTACTTCTATCCCTTCGCACTCTCTTATTTAGGACTCCTTACGACCTTCTAACGTACGAAATCGCTACACAAACGAGCCTAGAACGCTAAATCTATCGGAGAGTAGTCCTTCTATATAAACTTCGCTACGCTATTAAACACCTCTACCGAGCGGTAGGATAGTCGGTTTCTCGCATTGCAATATAGTTAAAGAGAGCCTATAAGACCGTTTACAACGTATATCGTAAAAACTAGACTCTAAGAGTATGCCGCTATCGACTATAAGAAGACCTAGATTTAACTAACAACCTCTCGAGAAGCCTGTTTCTTATTAACGCACTACGACGGCGACGTACGATCTTTACGACCTAGTAATAGCGGGACATTATCCGCTTTATTATACAAAACGCGACTACGAGACGGATAACTTTCCGTTAAATCCGGGATATATTAAACCTTCCTTGCTATCTATAAACTGTCTCTCGAATTTGCCGTCGGTTTAGCTATAGACGTTGCGTCGCTCGAGCCCGCCCCTTCTATAGCTAACCAACACAACTAAAGAGGCTAGAATAGGTATAACTATACTATAACTAGACAATTAACGACTAGGCTAACGTTCTATAGTTAGACGAGTGTACTATACGCAATAGATTATATAAATAGCTCTTTGTAACCCGCTTAGTTAGTAAACGCAACTAAGACGTGTATTTAAGACCTCGCTTCTAACGCCTTCCTTATTAGATAATATAGGCCTATATTAGTAGCCGTAGCGGCAAGGGGCCTCTTATCCTATAGAATATATTAGATTAGGGCAACATTAATGCCGCTAGCTATTCTTAACGTATTGTTCTAGAGGTCCGCTATAAATTAGACCGTTTAAACACCCTTATTCGCGATAATAACAACCTCTATTACGAGAGGGCGGAGTACCTTATATTCGCCTTATTCTAGTAAAACAACGCTTCCTTATACCGAGCGACTTACACTACTATAGTACTCAACTAATACCGTATTATCCGTATAGTATAGCTACCTTCTTTACCGGATTTGAACCCTATCGAGAATCTCTAGAAGGTAATAAAGATAGTAATTAAACAGCGACGAGAACGGCCTTATAGACGTAACCTAGCGATAGCAATCCTCGAAGAATATAGCAAGGTTACTACTCTACAGATAAGGAAATAGGTTAATAGTATGCCTTAGCGCTGCTAAGTAGTAATTAATGCTAATAGCGGATATACTCGTTAGTAATTAGATAGAGTCTACTTTGTTGTCTATAGTCTACTTATTAACTTAAGCCTTCTATACGGCTTTAGCGCCTTCTACACGGCTTTAGCGCCTTCTATACGGCTTCTAGTTATACCTCCTTCTTAACCCTAAGCGTTACTAATCGACCTAGTAGTCGACTAAGGTTCTAGCTACCTACCGCGATTGGCTTACTGTATCCCTACTTACCAAGTTTTATTAGGCAAAGCGTGTAACCTAGCAAGGGGTGTAAAATTAGCGAATTCGCTAACAAATAGCCTTCCGATGCGTGAAGGCGCTGTACTTCGATGGATGGACCAGGATGGTGCTTATTAGAAGGACGCCAAGGCAAGGAAGGCAAGGGCCGCTGCGTGGAGGGAAGGCCCGGATCGACCCTGGCCTGGTCGGGTGAGGAGCCGATCGAGCAACATTGACATGACCTTTTGGGCAACGCAGGAAACACAAAGCTATGCAAGTTCCCGAGATGCTGCACGCTGTTGACGATGGAGACCGTAATAACGTGACCTTGATATGATCGACATGTGAGATCCCAAAAAACAGTTCTCTTCCACTCTCTTTCTGCCATCCTCCAACTTCAATTCATCATCACTCTCCTTCCAGCATCAACAATGCCATCACCAACCCTCTCCCAATTCTGGTGGATGACACCAATCCAATTCCTCGCCGCTCTAACAGCAGGTTTCAACTCCGGTACCTATCACCCTCATCAATCCCCATCCATCCATCCACTCCTCACTCACCCATCCTCCCAGGCGCAACCGGTCTCCAAGCCCCTCTAACAATGCCCATCCTCGAACTCTCATCCATCCCAGCGGTATACCGGGGCAAACAACTCCGACATCTCCTGACCGCCAGCGACAAATTCTTCCCGAAACTCAACGCAGTTTCGACGCTCTCAAATCTCGTTTTAGGGGTGATTTGTTTTTTGAAACGTAAGGAGAGTCGTGTCGCGAGCGAGAAGTGGAAATTTTTGGTTCTTGCGTTTGGGCTGAATTTTGGGACGACGGTTTTTACGCTGGGGTATATGGCGCGTTTGAACGATTTGTTGAGGGAGTTGGCGCGGAAGATTGAGGTGGATCCGAGTGATGGTGTGGCGGAGAGGAGGTTTGGGGAGACGCAGGTTTTGTGGAAGAGAGGGGCTAATTGTAAGGATTTCTGCGAGAATTGGATACGCGTGGAGTTTTTGCTGATATTCAATTCGATAGTTCGTACTGTCATCATGACCTCGGCCGCAGCTGTTTCGATCTACACGCTGTATCTCGACGGAAAGTACCTTGGGATGCCAATGTAAAGGATGGGATATCTCGAAAGATAGAGATAGAGCAGATGGACAGTCAAACGGACAGGCAAGCGAATTCTTGTTGTTTGGAAACCTCATTGAATCAGTAACCGCATTACTATCAAAAAATTTTGACATGTCAACCATGATATCTCACATCCTGATCGACGCCGTTTCGCACACTGACAATGCTTCTTCACTTTCTTATCAATGAAAATATCCACCTCTTCATCAGACTATTTACAGCATGCCAACAACAGCCAGACCGATGGCACCAATGGCACCGGCAGCGATGAGTGGAGCAGAGGTTGGTGCGGCGAAAGCAGACGAAGTGCCAGTGGCAGACTGGGCTGCGCTCGAAGCGGCGTTGGTGGCGGATGAGTGAGCGGCACTGGCAGTTGCAGAGAGCGTCGCGGCGACGTTGCTTTGGCTGGCGATGGCCTGGGTGATGGAGGAGCGGAGGCCAGAAAGCGAGCTGGCGGCAGCACCCGTGGCGGTGGAAAGCTCGGAGTTGGCTGGAAATGTCAGCAAAGTTGCGTGCTGTGACATGCTATGCGCATGAATACTCACCAGCCGCGAGAGCCGCAGAGGCAGAGCTCTGAGCAGCGTAGACGCTGGTCAATGCAGCATTGATGATGCTAGACTCCTTGGCCTGGAATGATCGTTAGCTAAAGTCGCGTCGCGCAGTTTGACCGATTCGTCGTCAATGTACGCACCATAGCGGAGGTGGCGGCAGCGTAGGCAGCAGAGTTGTAGGAAGCGAGCTGCTCTGGAGACATGCTGGCGTTGCTTGTAGCAGCAGCGGCAGCAGACACGACCGCTGCGCTGATGGACGCGACCTGGGCTGAGACAGATGCGAGAATGGCATCGACAGAGGAGCTCTGAGCGTAAGCCATGGCGGCCAGGCCGGAGACGATGATCGCGGACGACTTCATGTTGATTAGTGGTATTAGAGAGTTGGTATAGAGGCCGTTGGTATCGAGATAGGCGGATAGCGATGCGATATCGATGCGACAATGGCTGTGTGGTAACGACCGACTGGAATGTTGATGAAGGGCGCAAAAGAGAGGACAAGGGGAAGAGAGCGGATACGGGACTGTATAAAACCCTTGGGCCAGCACGCGCACTGTCACGCAGTAGTGCGCGCACCTGGCACGCGTATTGCGATTCGAGGCTGAAAATGCAAAGCGGTCACTACAGCTCGAACAGGTATCGCTCGTGCACGAAGGGCTGCCCCAGCGTGAGATTTGATTGGTCTGTACCTGAAATATGCATTTGTCTCGCAACGTTTATTATTGCTCGCGCCGGACCTTGCAGCTTGCCGTTGCAGAAGCTCATTTCCGTGTGGGGCGTGCAAGGAGCGGCCTGCTTGGTACCCATTTCGGGTATACACACCGATCACCTGACAATTGCGAGACATGATATTAAAGGGCGGCCGGCGCATCTCGCAGAGAGACTGAGACTGAGAATCCCGTCCTTGTTTCGACGCGGCTTGTGCTAGAATGTTCCACTTCACTGATGCTGCTCCAGTGAGTGGCAGGATTAAATTCTTTTGGGACAAGTGGCCATGAGGTGGTGTCAAGTCAGATCAATGACAGTACTTGGGCAGACCTTTGGTCGCAAACTCGGAGCAGGTGACGGAGGAAGAACATGGCTTGCTGTAGCAGCAAATGTGGCCAGTCGCAATTCTCGCAATGTGGACGCAGGAATCGTCTCGCCGGGCGCAAGGTCGAAAGGTCTTGCTATCTTCGGTTGAGGTACTAAAGTCGAAGCCTCTTTCGCTTCCAAGACAGAATCGAGCTCTCGCTTAGATGGTGTCTTGGATTGTTTAGCTGGCATCGTTCCAGACATACTGGATGCGGCGTGCTTGATTCGCTTTCTGGGCGCGTCATCTCGGTGCTGGGATTGCTTGCGAGCTTTGGGCTTTGCTGCTGAGGATTCTTGGACTTGCGACTGGGACGACAATGGCTTTCTGGGCTTTAGTGGCCTGAACTTGGGTCCAGGTCTTGTGGGTGAGGGCCGTGTCGAGGCAGAGGCTGTGCCTTGCTGCGAAGATTGTGAGAGGAGTGGATTCGACGTCAACAGAAGACCAGCTCCATCTTTCGCCGTCTCGTCTTCGCTCTCGGAGTCATCTTCTAAATTGATCACTCTGCGTGCTTGACTCTGCGATTGACCAGGCGATCGATACTCCGGTAGCTCGACGCGTTTGAATTGAGGCGGCGATGCGCTTGGTACAGCCTCTGGCTTCTTGCGGTTTCGGGATGATTTGGCATCCCCAGATATCTTCTTACTTCTCTTCGCAGGCTTTGGAGAGGAGTCATGGGCGGCACCGCCCTGAGTGCCCGCGACATCGTCCTCTTCGACCGCGGACGCTTTGCGCTTTTTCGTTGCACGTTCTGGCTTATCCAGCGCGCCCTCTGGAAGTCCATACTGCAGCAAGCACAGCAGGAAATCTTCACAATCGATTCGGCCCATGGGGTCGTATGGCGTACCATCTTTGCCAGCAAATTTTGTCCAATCCTCCTCTGGTGGCTGCGTAGAGAGGTCGATCTGGACCAATGATTGCGGGTTGTACCAGAAGTTTACCGTTGACTTAGGCGCTTCGACTTGTCCTTGTTTATTCTTCCTCGAACCTCCTCGCTTGAGCTGAATGCCATATTCAAGGTTCGCCTGCTTTCGCTGTGGTGTGACGTCTCTAAGGACACGGGCAAGAAAGAGCGGAGCAATGTGCTTCAGGTAGTCGAGGGTACTGAAGTTGTATCTATCGCGAAGTTCACATCGCAGGCGTTGCTCGTTAATCGGCTGATCCCATCCACCTCGCCGGTGAAGCTTAGGTAGGTCCCAGCATCCTGCATCGGGTGTGACATTGGGCTGGCGGTAGTTTTTGACTGCTTTCCAATTTGGAAAGTCATAGGGTATTTCTAGTGAGATGTTGCAGGCGCGTAGCACTAGCGAGAGCTCATGCCTCCAGCCTGACAGCTCCCCTTCCGTGCAGTGCACCAATTTTCTAGCAAGTCCATGTCGAGTCTGTGCAATTCTCTTGGCGGACATTGGACCGCATCCTCGCAGACCAGTAAGATTGTAGTCTCCACCAGCAAGTACTGCGAAAAGAACGAGGCTGTCGGCATCCAAGTCGAGGTTTGGAAGGATGGTCGATGCTTCGTAGATGCTGACTTGGCCCAAACAGCCGTTTCCGGGCTTCCTATGCTGCTTGATGAGAGTTGTACAACCAAACATGAATGAGTCGCAATCGTCACTCCACACAGCATCGACAACGCCTAGTCGTTGCAGCTTGGCACATTCGGCCTCAGCTTCTCCAGGGGCTCGATGGTAAGGGACGTGCAATACATCAAACATTTTGTGCAGTGATTTGACGGTCTCATTGTCAACTTTGCCGCCGCCAGGACCGCGCTTCCCCTGTCGCTCTTTCCAAGGCTTGCTCATGCCATCCCAGACGAAGAGCAGTTGAATATTGAGCTTGTGAGCTCGCAGGATTCGCCATAGGATGGTCTTCTCCATAGGGTTGGCCGCTGGTTCTCCATTCCGGATATTGGCGACTTGTTCGTCATTCAGATTTCTGAAGCGCCAGCAGGCCTCGTCTACTGCGATGCGAAGAGGCCGGTGGTGTTTTTTGAAATGCGCAGCGGCATAGTCGGCAAGCTCTGTGACTTCACCGTGGCCAAGCACCTGCCACAGCCTATTGCAGTGTTAGTTACATTCCGATGGTTTGGTAAGTATTTTTACCCATTGATGCCCATTGCGATGGCAATGCCGATGGCGATGGTCGTTGCAGTGACAAGTCATGAGCGCCTGATCTTTCAGGAGTTGCCCAAGTTCGCGTCGCGTCGCGTCCATTTTTGACAAGGAAGTCGTGAAACTTTGAAAGGCGTTTGACTTTGCCGGGCCGTGCGCTCCGACGAGAGACCAGCCAGGAATGTCGATTGGAGTAATAAGGCCGACATCGACATCGCAGGATTCGCAGCTCTATCGTGCATCAAAAGTGGCATGCCGCATGCGATTCGAGCGGTAAGGACGGCGGCGACATCGCTCTGCTTCAACAGCACAGCACAGCACAGCACAGCACAGCACAGCATTACTCATCAGCATCATGATCACAGCAGCACGCAGGTCGAGTCTAGGCCGGGACAAGACAAGGCTACCTTACAGCAGCGATGCCAGATGTGATGTTGATGGAAAATGCCACATTTTAGCGTGTCTCCACGTCACCGACGACGACCGCGTGCCTCGGCCACTGTGCCGTGATGCCGACCTCCCACCTATCGCGACCATTACAGCATTACTCAGCCCATCCCATCTAAAGCGCGAGAGCTGCCCGGCATGTTTGCAGCTTCGATTGCAGAGATGGCCCTAGAGACAGACGCAGATCTCTGTTCGCTTAAGTGTACCCTTACAACATGCACTCCGGCCTGTCCCTAGACAGCTCTGTGGCGAGATCTGACAAAGTCATGGACGAAGAGAAACAGGACCATCCGACCTCTGGAGAAGACAATTCCACCAGCCCGGAGGACACTGCGGACCTTGAGACGAATGAGCCTGTACAAGGCACTCAGGGCACCCAAGAAAACTCAAACAATCTCTCCAGGATACTATCAAGAGTATCAAGAGCATCGCGGCATGCTCATCGCGGACATCCAGAGTTCCAGGTCGAATTCGACGAAAATGACAGAGAAAACCCCAGATATTTCAGCACACCATACAAATCTCTAATCACCCTTCAGCTGGGCTTCCTTGCTCTTGTCGGTTCCATCGCAAGCTCCATCATTTCTCCAGCTGAACTCGTAATTTCTCAATACATCGGTGTCAGCGAAGAGGTGACGGTGTTGGTCGTTGCCCTCTATGTTCTAGGCTTTGCCTTCGGCCCTATGATGTGGGCTCCTATCTCAGAGGTGAGACTTCAGAAATAAACGGTGCTGCGAAGGTATATCACATCTCTGATGCTATTGCTGTAGGTATATGGTCGTAAATGGAGTATTTTACCAGCCGTTTTCATCCAAGGCCTCTTCAGTATCGGTACTGCAACCAGTACGAATGCCGCGAGTGTCTTCATCACCAGATTCTTTGGAGGTCTCTTCGGGTCGGCGCCTATCAGCAACGTCGGTGCTGCGCTTGGAGATATGTACGAACCTCGAGCTCGAGGCATCGCTGTGACATTCTACGCAGTAATGGTGGTCGGCGGTCCATGTCTTGGGCCAGTGATTGGCGCTGCCTTGACCGTCAATCCTAATCTTGGCTGGAGATGTGAGTTTCAAAATCACTTTGCTTAGCCTTTGCTGACCAATTTCATCGATGTTAGGGACCGAATATATTGCAGCAATCTTTGCCTTCTTTATGGTGGCATTGACCTTCTTCACATTGCCCGAGCTGTACAGTCCTGTTTTACTGAAAAGGAAGGCTCGACGTGTGCGCAAAGAGACGGGAGACGACCGCTTCTGGCATCCTCACGAGTCAGAGAAGATGAAGCCTTCCAACATTCTCACCAAGTACTTCTCTCGACCCATACGAATGCTGGTAACTGAACCAATGGTCACGTGTAAGTATAAAGAGGCAACAATCCATTCGCCCACCACTGACTCGAGTATCAGGTATCGCTGCATATGCTTCTTTCGTATACGGCATTCTTTACATGACGCTGGAAGTCTTCCCCATCGTGTTTCGCGAGGAGAGGGGTTACAGTACCGTCGTCTCGACGCTGCCTTTTCTCGCCCTGTTCGTAGGTGTTCTGTGCGCTGTTGGAATCAACTTGGCCAATCAATCTTTTTATGCAAAGGCCATGGCGAAGAACAACGGTAATGCAGCGCCAGAAGCCCGGCTACCCCCGATATTCATTGGCGGCTTTCTTTTCACGACCGGGCTGTTCTGGTTCGGCTGGACAGCAGACCCAAAGTGAGTGAATTCCGACTGTGAGCTGACACAATCATACTGCACTGATGGCGATGTGTGCGGCGAAACTACGATGAACGAGCAGGCCCGTCATTTGCTGACAAGTGTCGCGCGTCCAGATACCATTGGTCATTGCCCACAGTCGCAGCTGGTAAGTCCTTGGGACATCTTCGGCCAATTCGATGATGCTGACGCCTCTGGCTAGCTTTCATCGGAGCAGGCTTCAACACCATCTTTCAGCAATGCATCAACTATCTCATAGACGTCTACGGACGATACGCAGCATCTGCAGTTTCGGCGAACACGTTCTTACGATCAATCATCGCTTGTGGCCTCCCTCTAGCCGCTGGACCCATGTTCAGAAACATGGGCGTAGGCCCTGCAACAAGCGTCCTCGGCGGTATCTCCTGTCTTGGACTTCCTCTGCCGTAAGCTATATCCCTACATCAGAAATCTTCGAGCTTCTTCTTGAATTGACCAGTCTCCAGATGGCTGTTTATGAAATATGGCCTGAAACTTCGCATGAAGTCCAAATTCGCACCCGTGAAGAAGGGTTGAAGAGCCACCATCCCTGGTGTTTTCGATCGAAGAAAATTCTGGTGAGTGTCATGCACTTACCAGCGTCAATGTGCACTGCAAGGTTCACGCATGACTCTTAAGACGCGTCGAGAAGGATTACATGTCGTCCGTTCATCGACAATGGACATCTGATCAGCAGGGAATGGTCGGGCGCAGACTGAGCAGTGACGAATCCGCCGACATCGCTCGTGATTCTATCGGTGTCTATCCGGGGTTTCGTCAGACACTTCACCCCGCTGTTCGCGAGGATTTTTTTTGGTCCTGGAGGACGTCGGGTTGAAGCTTCGGCCGCTCTTATATATCAGATATGCTTGGGAAATTGGATAGCGACGGGAAGTTGGCGTTGATTGCTACTTCGATGCCATTGTCCTCGAGAATACTGAAATATAGCCATTGTGTAGCGTCTTGGCAAAGATCAGATGACTGATTCACAACTGCTTCCTTCCTTCCTTCCTTCCTTCCACGCATCATCACGCACTGTATGCCACCTTCCGAACGTGATTGTTTCTGTTCTCAATCGTTCTTGCATTATCATTTTGTATCCTCGGGTTGTATTGCCACGTGTAGACTACATGTAGTGTATCTGGTTAGCGATCCATGCGAAGGGCACAACAACTTTAGCCGCCATCGTCTCGACACGCTTCAACGAAGCTGCACACCGGTTCGATGTCAGCGAATTGAGCCGCTCGAAGCGAGGCGAAGGATCTCGACACCACCGTCCTTGGCGAGACTAATTTTACACCCAGGGAGCAGCTATACCAGACACGGAGGCGGCAGGCATATAAGCTCGAAAGTATATATCGTCTACACCCTCTGTCACAGAGAAATCTGCGGTTGACCACGCTAAAAGCGGAGTTGACCAACGTCCGTATAGCCGAGTCTGTGCGTGACCGTGCATATGGTCAGCCGCAAATTAGCGCCTACGCATCTACTTTCCTACCAATCGACTAATTCTTTCCCTTCCCTTTCCTTCTACTATACGAATGCCCGCTTCTTAGACTATACAGATTACGAGCACCGAACAAAACTACTATCTAAAGTACCGACTAAAGCTATAGAGACTCTATTAACCTTTCTTCCCTATATATAGGAAGATTATAAACATGAATATTCTAATAAGCTCATCTCGTATACCGAGTCTATTAACGAGCGCGTATATATAAGTATATAGATGTATATACCCTTTAGCTTACCGAGATATAGGCCTCTAATGTCTTTACGTTAGGAATACTTGCGGAAGAAGATCGCATCGCCTTAGAGGCTGTAGAAGACAAGCAGCTAGAAAGCAACATTGTAGGCTTAGCTATAGCTAATAGTATGCCTATACTTTCTAATAAGACTTAGCTACTTCCTCGATCCGGGCCTACCCTTATTATAAATGCTATATATACCCCGCTTTCTATCAAGCATATCGAACATATTGCTACGATACTAGAATACCTAAGTAGTTATAACTATAGCTATACATATGTCGTTCTACTTGCGGATTACTATAACTATACCGATCTCATCCTAGAGAACGTTATAAAGATTCCGGCCGTTCTTGAATATAGAGTATATATAGGCGTGTATATTGTTATATATATGCTAATATATATTAGATACAATATAGGGCAAGGCAGCCCTATTCCCCGAAGGAAACCAAAGCGTCGTACTTTAATAGCGTATCCTGTGTTCGGGTACGGAAGAATTGTAGCGGTGTTAAGATATGTCAATATGCTTGCTTATATCTCCGGGAGGGCGCTGCGCACTATCGCCTTACGGACGAGTACCTAAACTAGAGGGTTAATTCTATACCTCCGCTCGTAAGGATATTCGTACTAAGAGGAGAAGAGACGCAATACCGGGTAGAGAACTCACATGCGTATATATATCCGTAGTTGGATAGTTTACCGAGTACTAACCTACGGGCATAGGCTTTAGTATGCAGTATAAGCAAGATTCCGGTCGAGAAAAGCCTACGACGATCAACGCGAAGATTATAGTTTAACGCACGAGGAGGCAGAGACGCCTATAAGTAATTGGTTATATATATAGGCATATCTATAGCTAACTGTATAGACGCTAGCTAGTCATTACTAGTACTCACTCGTATATACCAACTACTATACATACCTACGACTATTATGCTTCCGCTAAGTTATTCTAAAAGAAGGGAAATAGTCAATCGATATACTTAAGGACTTCTTCTAAAATCCACTAGCAGGTCCGACTAACGTTTATACGGTTGTTAAGCCGACAAAGGTGGTTTATACGATATGCCGTAGGTACGTCTAGACCTATAGGCATAGATTAGCTAATACCGCGTAGAAGTCGATTACCTATAAGGGCAGGGCAAGCTCGTTACGCAAGAGTGTAAGGTTAAGTTCGATTTCATCGTCCCGCGCGATCCTATAAGGACGCCCTATATAATGATCGTATCTCGGGGCAAATATACGTATATACTACCCCCTCCGACGAAAGTCCCTGCTCTTATCGAGGAAGAGCTAAAGGAATTGATTAAGAAGTACATTTCGCCGGACCTAATAACGGGTATGTATATAGCTATACCTATAGACTTCCGCTTACGTAGTCCTTAGCCCGATTCTAGGTCTATCCGATGTTGCAGCAGTTCCTTAATGAAAAAGGGGTACTATCACTTGCTAAGCTCTATATTGCTTTAAACAATACTTCGCGCTTAACCGCGATAATAGTAAAGCTTAAGCATACGGAGTATAGTTACCTTCGCGATATTAACGTAGTGGAATAGGTATATAAACAGCAGAAACTTAACCCGAAGACTGTACGTCCTTATCTATAGCTATAGATGCTAATATACGCTAATTTAGTAGCAATATATCCAAGACGTATATATCTCCCCTATAGGCATATAGACAGTGGTATGCTTTTATAGGGAACAAGCAGAGATCTTTACGTCTCTCTAGTCATTCGACGTCGATATGTCCTACAAACGTATCGCAGGATCTAATATAAACGAGGTCATCTTTGCGGTTGAGTTAGGTCAGAATGGAAAGCGTATATATAGGCTAACCTATAGCTATATACCTGCTAACAAGATAGTCTTCACCTTAGCTCGGGTTATCTATAACGAGAAGAATACTGATCGGATATATTATCTCGTATAGAAGCGCCTATTTACGACCTTAGCGGCTGTCGTAGGTATAGGCAGATGTAGGTAGGCATATATCTACGGGGATACGGACGGGTAGCACTGTATCGCAGTCGATCAGCTCGGGTGCCAATATGCTAGTATCTATGCCCTAGCCTATGCCCGTACCTATACTAACCTGTAGGCCTTAGTCTCTACCTGTACGAAATCGACCCCCTCTATACGGCGGAGTATCACCTACAGTATATACTTATGCTCTGTTGTATACACTTCATTAGGAACGTAGACAAGGTTATAAGCAAATAGCGTAGTAGGGTTACTACAAAAGAGCGAGAAGATATACTATCCCTTATCGACGCTCCGAGCAGGTAGGAGTACTATACGATTATCGGCATCCTCTAACGTACGTCTATATATATAGCTATAGACATTCGCTAATATGTATAGGGTCCCGGAACAAAGATCTCCGTAACTAGGCGACGAACAAGAAAAACGATGTTATTGCAGCCGCGCTCAACCCCGAGTGTACGCTTATAAACAAGGACATATATAGAAGTAGACGGGCGGATACAAATGCTAACGAACAGACGGGATATAAGTTATACTCATTCGGAACCGACCTACCTTTGATAATAGGTATTTCCAGAGCTGCGACTATAGATATGCGCGATGTCGATCAGTTCTAGGGTTAGACCGACTACCGCGTAAAGCATACGTTAGTAAATGTCTCTATCTAGTCTAGATACGAGAGGGCACTATAGAAGCAAGGTAAAAGCTACCTATTAGCAGATTTATGCCCGTACTAATAGCCGTAGTTGTAAAGAAGACTAGATATAAACAGGAAAAGGCTATAAGGCTAGCGTACTAAGAGCAGGCCTCTAGCAATCTCTATAAGCATAGGAGTAATAGTAAGGATGAGCGTACTACTAGGGTTAATAATGCGTATCGCGCCGCTAGAGTATAGGTTGGAACAATTCCTACCCGGAGGACCCTCCTAGAATAGGAAACACGTTTACAATCACGGGATATCGAGCCTAGCCTACCGCTATATCTACGACCGTCACAACGCCTAACCGGAAGTCCAAGCCCTACGCCCGCCCTACGACCGTTACAACGCCTAAGCCTACCACCCGGGATTCGCCTATATATAATCCCTATCCGGGATCCTAAACTAGAGGTTACTAGCCGGCGACGAAAGCGAGCGAGTACGGAAAGTATGCCTCTACCTTTACGCGTTCCTACGCCTAGAGAAAGGGGAAACTAGAGATTAGTTACTAACACCGCTACATTAGGACCTAGCCGCATTGGAACGCCTATAGATACGCCTATAGATATGTCTCGAGACGGGATTCAACTTCAAGATTAAACCCGAATTGTCCCTAGCTATAACTAGCCGATAATTGGACAGCCAATACAGCTACTAACAATGCCGCTAATATAGCTACTAATAGGACAGCTAATGCAGCTACCGATAGGACAGCTAATGCAGCTACCGATAGGACAGCCAATGCAGCCACCGATAGGACAGCTAATACAGCCACCGATAGGACAGCTAATGTAGCTACCGATAGGATAGCCAATGTAGCCACCGATAGGACAGCCAATGCAGCTACCGATAGGACAGCCAATACAGCCACCGATAGGACAGCCAATGCAGCCCCTAATAGCTATACCAATGGCCGCGACAATGCCTTCCTTAATGCCTCCGGTTATACAACCTACCTCAATATATCCGCCAATACTAGTAGAGATCGCTAGTTTATAGGCGGAGTATCTACGGGCGTAGCTACGGGTATACGACGAGATAGCTCGCCAGTCAAGAGAGGGTCGGAGATAGCTATATATATAGGTTGTATTAACATCTTTTTGG